TGAACTGGTTGGCAAAATTGCCGAGAAGGCTGGTTTCGAGTACGAGCTGAGCCTTTCTCCGGATCTCTCTTATGGCTCGATTGTGGACAACAAACCCACCGGCATGATTGTTCAGGTTTTTGAAAAGGTAAGCTTAATTACATTAAACTGTTTGGCAACTTAAACTAATATGTAAATTCTTCATTTCAGAAAGCTGACTTTGCTCTAGCCGATTTGACCATCACTGAAGAGCGAAAGAGATTCGTTGACTTCACCGAGCCGATCATTGAGAATCAACTTTCCGCGCTGATTCGCAAGGAGGACGCCACCGGACTGACCACCATGGAGGACCTGGTGAAGAGGAACCAAGAGGCGGCCAAGTCGACGCCTCCGGGGGCCATTGTCTCTTACGGTGTAGTGAAGGGCGGCTCCACCTACTCCAGACTGTCTTCCACCACCGATGAGGTTGGTCGGGAGATCTTCAGTGCCCTTCGCCCTGAGTCGCTGATGCCGTCGATTAACAGCGGCAAGGAGAAGGTTGCTGCAGAAGGTGGCTTTGCCATGATTGTCGAGTCCACCATGGCTGACTACATTGTCGGCCAGAACTGCAACCTGACGGCACTGCCCGACACGCGCAACATTCACCCGCGTCTGCATGCCATCGCCCTGGCCAAGGGCTCGCCGTACCTAGAGCCAATCAACCAGGCCATTCGCGAGCTGAAGGCCGATGGAACTATGGCAAGCTTGAAGGCAAAGTACTGGAAGAAAAACTGCTAGAGCCTTGTCAATGTGTGAAGTGTTTTTTCATTTATGACAGTTGTAGAACAATCTAGATTGCGATAATGTAGGATAAACTTGGGACTTTACTCTTTAGTGCAAATAATTATCAAATGTAGTACAATAAATTATCAGCTTATATCTGCATATAGAAACTTGGTAAACAAGATAACAGAAAGAGGACCTTCGGAACGAACCTTCAACGGCTACACCAACTTGAACCAGTACATTAGATACTCGGTGTACACAAGAAGAAACTTGAAGATATCAAATGCAAATAAAAATAGTAAGTAATCAATCAATCAGTGAAGTGATAAGCATACCTTAGCAAAGGTAGGAAAAGTGATCATGCAAATTTTCCCATAAGAGATTCCGTGCTGTCTAGAGGTGACACGAAGCACCTCATTAGCCAATTTGATTCGACTGAGCGTCGTTAGGAGCAGCTGACAGTGACAGTGACCGTCCTGTGCACTCCAGTGAAAGAGATGTCCAGCCGGCTTTCGTATCCGTTCAGTGTAGCTGGCGCCGATCATGTGAAAGCCAAGCAGTACCCAGTACTGGTACAGCAGCTGAATGCTCAATGTCAGCTTGGTCTGCGGCAAAAAGTACTTCCCTGAGATGATCAGCGAAAGCAGGTAGGTGTTCACCGGAAAGGTCAGTACTATGTAGAAGAGCAGCATAGTGCCATAGATTTGATTGGCCTCAGAGATGTTGCGTAGAATGGTGACGTGGTACTGCTTGAAAGAACGCAGAACTTTCCAGTTGAACTTGCAACTGCTGGTGCCAGAAGGTGGTTTCAGGAGGCGGTTTGATTCTGCCAGCTGTATAAAAGTGACACGTGTAAAGATGAAGAATGATCCAGTGGTAATGATGTGCGTTATGACAATCAGAGCAATGTAGAAGTAGTGAAGTAGATCACTGACTACGAGTAGAGCCAAGTAGAAAATGCCCACTGGAAGACTGTCGGTAAAGTGAGAACGATGCGTGAAAATGAGTTGAAGTCCTTTCAGTTGGTACTTGAAAAACAAGTAACCTGATTTTCAAGTCAAAAGATAAAGCCCTGTTAAGCAAAATTATTTGTCAACAACACCACAACTCTATACTTAAAACAGTAATTATGATCTTGGTATAGCTCAAATATTTCAGTGAGCTTCGTCGAGTTTTGATGATTGACTGTTTGTTAATAAAAAGATTGACTTTTGAGCTACTGTCACCTAATTTAAAGTCCAAAACGGTGCTAATTGTTCGAATGACAACGTTCAGCGACTTCCGTTTAAAGAAATGCATACGAAAGAGAAAGAATAGCATCTCAATGCCAAAGGAAAAGTGCAGCAAATTGAACTGCGATGGAAGGTGTTTAAAGGATAACGTGTCCACATTGATAATGGCCCAGACTGTGGGATTTTTAAAGTGAAAAGGGTTCTCAAAACAAAGCATTGCAAGTTGAACTGATCGAACTGAGACAAGACCAAGGAGAAAGTGTACTCGTTTAAGTTCGCAACTGTCCATTGGATTGACGGACAGTGAAATTAGATACCTCTTTATCACATTGACAGAGTCCCATAAATAGGGCAAGTTTAGTAGTTCACCAAATAGAACATCGCCGTACGGCTTGAGTAGTTTATGCATCTTTAGAAGTACAAAAGGATTCATATTACTCNAGGCAAGTTCAGAAGTTCACCAAATAGAACATCGCCGTACGGCTTGAGTTGTTTATGCATCTTTAGAAGTACAAAGGGATTCATCTTACTCACTTCATTAAAGTGTTCTGATCAAACAGCCACAGATATGAAGTAAAAATGACAGCTAACTATAACGTTTGACTTTTTATTTAATTAACCTTGTTCAGCCAATTTTTTTCTTTTGAAAAAAAACTTGTTTGTCACTAGAANTGACGGACAGTGAAATTAGATACCTCTTTATCACATTGACAGAGTCCCATAAATAGGGCAAGTTTAGTAGTTCACCAAATAGAACATCGCCGTACGGCTTGAGTAGTTTATGCATCTTTAGAAGTACAAAAGGATTCATATTACTCACTTCATTGAGCTCATTTAATCAAACAACCACTGATATGAAGTAAAAAATGACTTTTAACTTTAACGTTTGACTTTTTATTTAATTAACCTTGTTTGTTCAGCCAATTTTTTTCTTTTGAAAAAAAACTTGTTTGTCACTAGAAAATTTCTCTTGTTTTTTGCCGTTGTAAGTGTAGTTATCAATAATTTAGCAGTTTGAAAAACTTACTACGGAAGTTATTAATTATTTGCTTAGTCTGAAAAACTGACTTTTAAAAATTGTTAAAAACAAAACATAACAGTTGATTCACAAAGTCAAACGACAAAGAGAAAATTGATCGCATTTGCACATAACAGTAGAGAATGTTCTGAATGTTCAAAAACAACTCTTACAAACAAGTGATTGATATGCTTGCACCGTGACATCTTTATTTTCAAGAAAAAATCCTCAAAATGTTTCCAACAAATATGTTCTGTTATATCACATAAAAATACTTGTACACATTGTAGTGAATTGCAATGCCAGAAAAGACAACAAAAATAGTCACTGAAAGAAGATAAAAGCAGGTTTGCTTAGAGAAAGAAAATTATGGAAAATATGAAAACGACAAAGGTATCAAAAACAAAAAATGGAAACATAAATATCAAAATTATAAATAAAATCACAGATAGAAAAGGAAATTGACAAAGATTAAAAGAGAGAGAGAGAGAGAGAAAGATTGAAAATAAACATTTGGCGTATGACTTGAATGGCGTTGACTGAGTGGACTGTGTCACCGGAAAGCAAGCAGTCCTTCTGTCAGAGGAGTATACTTGCTTGAAACATTAACAGGTGTGGTGTCTACTGGTCTGTGTGTGTGTTAGGCTAGGTAGCTCTAACTTGAGTGGAAAGTGGCAACTGCACAAACTGAGTTTGAAATTGCAGCATCGATTGAGGCTGAAAGGGCGGCAGGGTGACGATGGTAGCGGCTGCCTGAGCTGGGAGCGGGTTGTCAGCATTGCAGTTGCGGTTGCTGTTCATTTGCGGCTGCTGTGACTGCTGCTGATGATCTCCAGCAGTAGCGGAATGTCCTAATGGCAGCCACTCACTGCCAATCACCGCCGTACTTGGTGGCAGTTCTCGATCAGGAGACTTGGGAGAAGCAGAACGGCCCTTATTGCTGCTGCCCACTACCGACAAGGCAGACAGCAGCGAAGACCAGATGAGATGGGTGTTGAACTGGGGCAACAGGCGATGATATGAGGAGGAGGACGTGGAGGTGGTAGACAGTGGTGTTGAGTGGCCGGAGAAGAGTGGCGTAGAGCTGTCGGCTGCTGATGATGAGGATGGGGATGAGGAGGAGTGCAGGTAACGTCCGCTCTGGTCGATCTGGTTAGAGGTGACAAACTGAAGTGACACTGAAACAGGTGGTGGTGGAGGGGGTGGTGGTAGTAGTGAAATTTGCTGTGGCTGCTGCTGCTGCTGGTGATACTCATCATGCACTGAGGGCTGCAACAACGGCTGCTGACTAGACGGCATCAGCCCTTGCATGGTATGGTTGGGGTTAGCGGTGCCATTGGAGATAAAGACCGCAGTTGGGCGACATGGCTCCAGAGTGTAGTTGTTGTTGTTGTTGTTGTTGGCTGACAAGCCGTCGTGTGGCATGACCATGCTGGTGTGGTTCTGGCCGTCATAGACCATCATATGACGACTGCGAGTCTGCGAGTCACGACGTTCACGACGCCAGCTCGACTTGTAGCGACCACGCTTCTTCAGTCGGCCACCCAACGAGCGGTCCGTCTTTGGCGGGAAGCGACCGTAGAGGTAGATGAGCGTAAAGAAGAAGCCGAAGCCTAAATAGTAATTAAAACATATGAGTCATTTTCCAGTATAAAAATCCCTCCATCTTTCAAATTACCAAGTGCAATGGGAATCACACTGGAGCCTTTCCAAAACCAGGAGTAGCCCAGGTAGCGCGAGTTAATGACCAGATCGTACTCAATTAGCGAGTGGTTGGCACTGTCGTGCATCGTCAGTCGTTGCTCAAACGTCCAGACGGTGTAATTGCTCAGCTCGGGATCTTCCAGGTCGATACGCTCCGGAACGGTCGTCTCATTGACAGTGTGCACTTGATTCGTTTTCGGGTCAACGTACTGTCCGAAATCAGCCGGATTGTAGATAATTTGGTTCTTCCACATGTTTAAATCGAGCATCATGACGAAAATTATGATTGAGTAGTTGAACCATTTCCCTGGGTTAAAAGTAATTAAAATTGTCGTTAATGAGTGAATGTATTACAAAAAATTGCTTTTTAGTACTACTACTACTACTAGACAGCTTACCACTAATTTTAATTTCAGTCGCCGGAAACTTGACTGACTTGCGGCAAAAGTTTAGTGTGTACGATGGTCGAAGCATACCGGGCAGTTTGATGTTTAGGTCACTGACAAAATGGGGAAAATCCCAATCCTGTGAAGAGAAAAAAATTGCAATTGATAATTATGTAATTAACTGGACAGTGATCTTTTTCAAATTTTTTTCTGATCAACAAACCTGCATGACAATGAGCAAATCCATGAAAAGANGAAGAAAAATGCAATTGATAATAATTAAATAATAACTGGACAGTGATCTTTTTCAAAATTTTTTTTGATCAACAAACCTGCATGACAATGAGCAAATCCATGAAGAGAATGGCACAGGCAACGTATGCTCGNTGACAAAGTGGGGAAAATCCCAATCCTGAGAAGAAAAATGCAATTGATAATTATGTTATTAACTGGACAGTGATCTTTTTCAAAATTTTTTCTGATCAACAAACCTGCATGACAATGAGCAAATCCATGAAAAGAATGGCACAGGCAACGTAAGCTCGAGAAAGTTCTGTTGTAGAGATGAGTCCTAGATTGATGTAGTCCCAGCAGATTAAATCGGTAAGAATGATGGTGATGACCAGGGCAGCAATGACGAGCGCGCCTGACCAGAAAACGACAATTCGAATG